GTACATATTTTCTGAAGCTGAGTGGAAGGAGAGTCATTGGTACCAGGGAGTTCCTGCCCTTCGTGTACTGTTACTGGAGTGGAAAAGATTGGTTTCGGACCCGACTTTGGATTACTTGAGTTTTCTTCAACAATTTTTTTTTTTTTTTTTTTTTTGCCGGCCAAAACTAGAGACAATTGCAATACTGCTGGGGACTCATCCTCAGCATTCAGAATAAAACATTGTTTTGGATTTGTATACCGACCCGGACCTGAAGTTTATTTCATTGGAGAACAAGACTTTTCAACACCTATCCAGTAAGCCAGTGTTTATGTACTAGATTGGTAAGCTAGTCACCTTTGGTTCCAAAGTTTTATATATTCATTTCTGTTCAAGTGACGTATTACAGATTTGTATTGTTTATCAAGTGTGGGAAAAAATGTTTTTTCATATGGTGAACAGTTGTGTTGTATTTTGATATGGTTTCTTTACCAGATGTTTGATAGTGGAGAAGAATGTGAAAAAGAAAATTTTGTTTGTTGTCTGCTGACCTGTACAGAGGAGAACCATATGAGATATTCAGTCCAGTAATATAATATATATTTTCCTGGATATTGGTAGTAAACTGCTACCGGACCCTGAATAAATTACCTCTTTGGTTGTGAGAAAATTACAAATCTTTTCAGTCATTTTAATAATAGAACATCGTGGTTACATTATCACAACATGAAATTAAAACTATTATCAAACCGTTCCAGTTCCGTTACAATATAATCTACTGTGTTTGTCAATAAATCCAAAATAAATCAAGTAAACAGTTGCTCTTCACTATTTTCTGGCATTTTATAAACCAAACTATAGATTAATAGCCTGACAGGCTATGGACAGAAGATCAACTTTAACTTTTTCACAACATGTTACTACAGTAGTGAAGTCGTTACATGGTAAGAAAAACCATTGAAAGAATTTGTAATTGTTCGATGAAAAATCTTTTATTCAGACAACTGCAAAAGATCGAGCGTCAACAAATTTGTGTGTTTGAAAAGTCTTTAATTTTAAAGAGCGAAGTCGCTGCAGGAGTCATAGCCTCTCTCTCACCTAGTTACTTCAGGATCTGCACATTCCCTACTTTGTACTTCCTATCGGCCAGAGTGCAATGACCTCTGGACCCTTTTATCTCTGCAAAGTATTTTTGATCTAAGGTCAGAAAAACACTGTAGTTTTCTTTGTTACAGCGCCATAAAAATCTCATGTCTTCTTGTCTTCTTTCCCAGAAGAGCAGACACTTGACACTGGCCTGTCCAGCAGCTTTCTACCTCTCAAATTCATGACAACTTCTCTTATTGTGAAATACATCAATCCTTTCTCAGTGTAGGTGCCAGAAAAAGATCACTTTCCCCTTATCCTCAGGTTATAAAGAAGACCTAAAAACTGTGACAGAAATAATGCCCTTTAATGTTGTAAAACCTCATAGTTAAAGCTTCTCACAATAGTTGCAGTATGTTGAGAAAAGAGAACTAAACTATGACTGTGCAGACTTTAAATGCATTGTAAACACCTCACCTTGATTGCAGCTACGGAGGCATGTGCTTAGTTATTTGTTCAGGTGGGGAAGTGAATGGATTACATGCAGGGCCGGGGTTTTTGTGCTACACCGCCCAGTATCACACTGTGGCCTGAGGAGGAATGATTGCATGCACTACTTGTGTAGCACAGACAGAGTTCTACAGTAAATTCAGTAAATGAACATGTGAATATCAGTATGCAAGCATATGTTTCCTTCTATGTAGTTGGGGTATTTTAGCAGTTTACTGTACATATAGTTAAATAAACATTAAGTACAATTTCCAGCCTGCAGTGTGTGCTGGATTGCTACAGTTGATGCTTGCCTCTTTAGTGTGACTAAAAAAATAGTCTAGTGGGAGTCTAATGCTACTTAGCAACATTTAGAGTACAGGCACGTGCACTTCTTTGGGGTAATTTAAAGTGTGGAATGTTGTTTAGAGAAAATACCACTTTGGCCACAGTGGTGCGGGGGCTGGGTAGATACAGTAGCTCGACCACTCTAAAGCTTCAGTGAATCGAATCATCAGTGACTTCACATTCACTAATCTCAAAGAAATTGGTTTCCTGTGTACTAATGAACTGGGAGAGATAATGCCACTGAGATAAACAAGAAAGGAGGTTTAATATTTTCTCAGGACTGTGAACTTTTTCAGCTGTGACTCCATCCCACCAGCGGACCAGCTTACAGTACTCTACCCCACAGACAGCTCAGCACTCTGGTACTAAGCTCGAGTCTTTAAAAGGGATACCACGTCACGTACTCTGAAGAATTTCAGAGGGACTTTTTTCTCCCTCAGGAGCAGGGAGCCGTTTCTTTTTATATAGAGAATGGGAGACTATGATGAAGACATTGCATTCCTTGGACAGACTGGGCCTTATTTCTGGACCACGTTCTTCCTCCTAAACACAGTTTTTGTCTCAACTGGATTCAATGGACTTTACATGGTCTTTGTCGGAGCAGCACCAAAACACCACTGTTTAATTCCAGATGTTAATCTAACTGAGCAGTGGAGGAATGCCATCATTCCCTTTACGATAGTTGATGGTGAAGAGGTGCTGAGCCAGTGTAGCAGATATAGGCTGGATGTGGTTAGAAATCTCTCCACCGAGGGATTTATTCCTGGAAAGGATGTCAACCTCACTAACCTGGAGCAGGAGGGATGTGTGGATGGCTGGAGCTACAGCAAGGAACTCTACCAATCCAACATAGTCACAGAGGTCAGTGATAATTGTGATTTCTCTATAAATGTTTAGTTATGAGAACATTTCGGCTTTCTTTTCTTTTGTTTATATAATATGTGATTCACATCTTTTCCCAGTGGGACCTTGTTTGTGACAACCAGTGGAAAGTTCCCTTTGCATCCTCGACTCTTTTTGTGGGATACCTCATTGGATCTCTGATCTCAGGACAGCTATCTGACAGGTTTTTCACTCTGTCCTATTTCACTGCAGTGTGAAACTTATGTAGATGGACTGTGTAAAACTCATTTACATAAGTGTAGTATTTTATCTAAGGGGTTTTGCATTAGTGAAAGTTGAAGTAATGTTTTGAAAGTGTTCATAAAAATAGAAAATTCATGACTAATAAGTAGATTGTGGTTCACTATGTAGGGATTACACTCTTGCTAAAGACTTAAACCTGATTAGCTGCCATTATGAAAACAGCTCCATCTACTGTTGAAGTTGTCTTGGATGAAGACAGAAGACGTTTCCAACAGTGATTTCATTTCCAGACTTACAATGATGAGTACACACATATCAAAATTATGTTGTCTTCAGGGAGCTGTCTGGGATGACAGAAAGGCATTCAGGCAGGATCATTTTACCAAGACAGGCTTTACAACCTGAAACCAAATGAGTTAATAATGGTGGACGGTGCTGAAATGTGTAGTCAGAGACAGGACGTGACAGAGTCTCCTAAAATGATCAATAAAAGCTTGAGTCATGTCAAAATCATGTCCTTTCTGGTACTATTGATGTAAGAGCTACTTGTTTGATGTTAGATACTCCTAATGCTTAACTACTAGTTACAACATTTTGCTTTTCAGCCTTGTCTGTTGATGGAAACCAGATGTAAATGAGCTTGATCAGCAGTTGTTAGAAGTAAAACATTAAGTGTGTAGTGTAGAATTGTTGACCCTGACAGGGGTAGTTGCGGCAGGGTACTGGGCGTGTGTGTAGAGCATTTGCTGTTAGATTAAGTGAATGTTCAGCTCTGACAGACTTTAGTGTTGTGTAGCTTTGATTGTAGAAAAGCCTGGGGCTGAGGACACAGCAGTGTGCAGCACTTGTGTATTTAAGTGTTTAGCTCATGTGCAGCTGTGAAAACTGTGCACCCAGTGGTTGAGATATAGGGGGTGAGGGGCAAAGTTCAGGAGAGTCTGTTAATGCTTCCTCACTCAGGGAAGTGTACAACTGCCCTCATGTTTAACTAGTCTCCTAACACTGCCTCTTTCAGGTCAAGCAACGACCCTGCCTGTAATGTTTAGGGTTGTGGAGTTCTAAGGCCATCTGAGACAAAATGGGGCAGAGGTGAGGGACACAGTGTCTTGTGATGGCAGTATACAAGGAAACAGTATGTGCAACTTGTTTTTGTTGGGGGACAGCATCGCTGGTACTTTTACACATAACGTTTCAAAAAATCTAAATTGCACAGAGGACGATTCAAACAGCATGGTAGAAGACAGTGGAAGTAACTGAGTTTACAGGTATGGGTTTATGTTTAGCAAAGGGAGATTGGTTTTACTGGCCTTTATATGATGAACTTATCATTTTGTGTCCATGGTCTTTACTATCTGCAAAGTCTTCTGCCAATGCCAAGTCAAACTTCTATTGAACTTGTCTGGAGCATAGCAAAAAGTAAAGTAAGTATAAGTAAATATACTTAGTAAGTATACTTAATAAGTCAGTTTATTAGTGCCTGGCACCAGTCTACTACTAGCCACTAGCAGACATGTGGTATCCTCCCTGCTGATACTCAGCCAGGCCTGCAGAGGAGTGTTGCTGTTTGTCTGGTGGCCTGTCAAGAGCATTGTTTGGTGGGTGTTTATGATCACTCAGGTGTATTGGCTTCCAATTATAGGGACAGAATGAGTACAAACATGTCACTGTCATAATATTTTCTCAATGCAGTGTGTGAATCACCGTCAATGGTCTATATTTATTTCCATTCAGGTGTGGGAGGAAGAAGGTTATTTTCATCTCTCTCGGGGCCCAGTGTATCTCAGTCCTGCTCCAGTCCTTCTCTCATTCATGGAGGATGTTCTGTATCATGTTCCTCTTTGTTGGAGCCTCCCAGATATCCATCTATATTTCTGCTTTTGTGCTAGGTATGACTGAAATACTTTGACTACTTTCAGCCCGGCTTATACTGTACTATCTGCTGGGTTGTCTTTTGTTAGTATCACACTTGTCACTGGCCATTTTGTCTTGGACAGGAACGGAGGTACTGAGTAAAACAATGCGAGTGCTCTTCACAACCCTTGGGGCCTTCCTTTTCTATTGCATTGGATATATGACATTACCCTGGATTGCATATGGCATCAGAGAATGGAGGACTCTGCTTGCTGTTCTCTCCATGACTTCTGTGGTCTACATCCCGCTGTGGTGGTATGTTATCTATAACTATTTCTGATTTCTAAACTTATATTTTGTGCCAGTAGTCAAAATCCATGATTTACCAGCAGACAAAAACATTGTCGACAAACCTAAATTGATTAAGCAGGTTCATCCCAGAGTCTCCTCGGTGGCTGATTACTCAGGGGAGAGTGGAGGAGGCCGAGGCCACGGTCAGAGATGCTGCAAGGAAAAATAAAGTTGAAGCACCACCAGTAATTTTTAAAGAAACTGAGGTGAGGCTCACATATTGTTATTAATAATAACACTGTACATTTGTGAACCGGCTTCCTCTCACAGTCCAAAGATGTGTAGCTTAAGTTGCCCGTAGGAGTGAGCGTGAGCGTGAGTGTGTGTGGTTGTCTGTCTCTAAGTGTCAGCCCTGTGATAGACTGGCGACCTGTCCAGGGTGGACCCCGCCTCTCGCTCAGTGTCAGCTGGGACTGACTCCAGCCCCTTTGCAACCTTGTTCAGGATAAGCGGTATAAATAATAGATGGATGAATGAGTCCGTTTCATCCTTTTGGAAGCACTAAATACAATGACTTCACATGCAGCTCTTGAACAGAAACTTAAAACATATACTATTATAGCTGTTATGCTAAAATGTGTCTGCAGCAGCTGCTCAGACACATTTTAGTTTTCTGCTTTAGTTTTACATCTGGTCCTAGTGTGTTTGAGACATCCTACTGTATGTGCAAGTCTAGGAAACTTACCCACATCAATTCTCTTGTTTGCATTGGTTTTAGCAACAGGCAACGTCTCTGAGCAAGAAATACACCATACTTGATGTTCTCAAATCTAAGAACATGAGATGTGTCACCCTGATGTGTCTCGTTCTGTGGTGAGTGACATCAACTAATGGCCATTATTTACAATTAGCATGTCTCTTTGTTATTCAGTGAAGATTTATTTGTGTGTAATATATTAGAAAAACGGTAACACATCAGCAAGAAACTAGTAGAAGAATGTACATTTACTATAATACAAACAATATTTTTCTTGTTACAGGATGGCAATAAATATTGGGTATTTTGGTTTATCCCTGAATACCTCTAATCTGAGTGGAAACCCCTTCATGAACTGTTTTTTATTCGGCTACCACAGAGGTCCCTGCCTATGTCGTTTCTACTTGGCTGCTAAAGAAATGTCCGAGGAGAGCGCTTCTGTCATCGCTCCTTGCCACTGGAGGAGGGGTTCTTCTGCTCATCCAGTTCATTCCTGATAGTAAGGCTGCTTTTTTAATATGTAAACTGACAGGATGACACTCTAAACACTCACTGACTGATCCACCATGTTTAGTGCTGAGTATCCTCTCTGTCTCCTTCCTTCCTAGCCCTTCAGTATGTCGCTCTGGCTCTGGAGATGACTGGGAAGTTTGGCTTCACCATGGCCTTCAGCACCGTCTACATCTACACTGCTGAGATTTACCCCACTGTACTCAGGAATGTCGGCATGGGACTATGCTCTTCTGCTGCACGCATTGGCAGTATCACAGCTCCTTATGTCATTTATTTAGGTATAGAGATTTTGAACACAGTATCTCACAAAGATGCTCTCTATTCACTGCACTAAAAAGAACAAATATAGCAAATGTTTATCTATGTCAGTGTTTATCTGTCCATTAATTAATTGCTTATTTTTTATCTACAGGTACTTATTATAAGGGTCTGCCTTATATTGTAATGGGAAGTCTCACAGTTGCCTCCTCTGTAGTTAACGTTTTCCTTCCCGAGACCCTCAGCAAAGATCTCCCCGAAACAGTGGAGCAGATGCAACAATATCAGGGGTACGTGTGCTTCTGACTTCATAGTAAAAAGATGGCATTATAGACTTTATTGTTGGCTGTCTCCAAACAAATAGAAAAATTAATGTGCAATAACTTACAACACAATGGAGGAAATGAAGACTAGCAGAAAATAGAAACATGTCCGCTGCCATCTGTGCTTCAGTGCATTCTGTGTTGCTCATCTTCCATTTTAACATCAGTTTCTTTCATTGACAGGTTTTGCTGTAGACATCAAAAGAAGAAATGTTTCAAAAATGGAGCAAGGGATAGCCCGTCCTTACAACCTGGGGCCAAATCTGATGTGCAGGCTATTGCTCTGTAGCGTCCTGGGCAGCCTTGCTTAATTTTTTTAAATTAAAGTAACAATTTTGAATCTAAATATAAAATCACAAACTCCATCTCTGATTTTTTTACTCAGTTGATGATTGTTAATTCAAGAACATTTTATAGAAATGTTGCAAAAAAAATAAATTTAGTTTTTGTATAAAATTGAATTACATGTATATCTGATTGGTCTCTAATTGTCACATGAAACATAAATAAAATGTGAATTCTCCTAATCTGGAGTTGTTTTTGTCAACAACAAATACCAAATCCTGATTAATATGGTTCTGTTTCTTGTTGTTGTCACTGCCATTGAAATGGTTTGGCCTTGCTCCTTTCACATGAGGTGTTACGTGTAGCTCTTCATTATGGCTACCACTACCACTACTACTACTACTACTACTACTACTACTGCTGCTGCTGCTACTGCCAGTAGCTACTTAGCTTAGTTTAGCATTAAGAATGGAAACTGATGGAAACAGCTAATGTGGCTTTGTCTAAAGGTAAGATGTTATATCTTGTTCAACAATTATACACAGTACATACTATGTCTAATTTAAACTGGTGGAAGTACATAAATGAATGCACTTCTAAAGGCCCCCCACCCAACGCAAATTAAGGCCAAAATGGTGTCTTCCGTTTGTGCTTCGTTTGTGCTGGTTTGTGCTGCAAAAACTTTCGTTTGTGCTGTTACGGTATTTGAGATATTACAGCTTTCATTCTTTGACTCATAAAATACATTTTCATATTCTGGCAGCATATTTTCACACAACAGGTCCAAAACACTGTAGTATTTTATAATCTTTTCCACCAATGCGACTTGACATTGTAATGAAATTTAAAAAATAAATAAATAAACAATAGTGTTTTCCTGGTTTATTTTTTTACAAGGAGATGCACTTAATGTTACCAATAGGGGGCGCCCAGATGGGTAAGTCAGCTTAAGATACACCTGTAGAAGAAATAGGGAAACGTACTTTTTCCACATGGTGTTTCTCAGTGCTGCTACATCAAAAATCTGTGCAAAGTAAGTGGAATGTGTTAACACTAAGCTAATACAATATAGAGAATTAGTACTGCATTGAACTAAATCTTTCATTCACCATGTCATTCATTGTATAGGATATTGTGTGCAATTTTAGGTGCACACTTCACCTTTGTCTGAAAGCGATTTACATCAAATACAGAATTACATGTAATAACTGGTTAAAAATACAGTCATTAATACTAATTATATATTATCTTCTTTAAAACAAGATGCCCAAAAAAGCAGCAGTAGACAAGGATGCTATTTTGGAAGTTCTCTGCTCATCAAAAGAGGCCATATTAAAAAATGGCAACATAGCCACTCCTAATGCCAGTGTATGGACAGAGCTGAGTGAGCACCTGGAAAATAAGATCTCTGCAAAGGCCCTGTACACTTTTGTTAAATTAAACAGACACAATGTCTGGTCAGTGTTAGGGTTCAGTGATCCTGAAACCAATGATGAGACAGATTCTGAGACAGGTTCCCTTTCTCCTGGACTAAAGGCTTCTGATGCTTTCCAGCTTGAAATTCCATTTGAGAAATGGAAGGAATTTGTTCCAGAAAACATTGAATATAAAGACAAGTACTCTCCAACTCAAAAGAGAGATTACACAGTTTTGAAACCTGGCACCTGGACTCATATTGTGAATGACCAGATTTGGAAGGCAATTAAAAGTACATGTACATTTGTATTTAAAAGAGCCAAGGTGTATCCATCAGCCACGAGTAATTACATTGTTATCAGAGGCTATTGTAAGGAGTGTCATGGACATCTTAGTATGACATGCAAGAGAGAGCCTGCAATGAACAACCCAATGGTGTTCAAATGCCACATTAGTAACAGTGATGACTCCAAGCACACTGGAAGGTCCAAGCGTTTATTGTCTGGTCAGCTACGTTTGCAAGTAGCCGAAGAACTGTGTGAGGGCAGAAAGGAAGCCCATGTATGGCGGGCATCACAGGCAACAAAGCTGATGGACTTTGGAGATCCTGAGCCAAGCCATCTACCCAATTTGGCCACCCTGCGAAAAGCAAAGCAACAGAGGAACAACTTGGAATTAGCTGACAAAGATCCAATTTTGTCACTGCAGCTGTTAAAATATAGTGCACCTCACAGTGGTAGCATTAGAGACATTGGCCTGGACAAGTTTTTCTGTCACTACTGGAGTCAAATCCAAATGCATGTGTATAAAACATTATCAAAGAAATCTCACCACACAGTGTGTTTTGATGCAACAGGCTCCGTAGTCAGGAAACTGGTGAGACCAAATGGCTCATCTGGGCACATCTTCCTGTATCAGGGCGTTCTGACAGGGCATAATAGCTCAAGTGTCCCTGTGGTACAGATGTTGTCAGAGAGACATGATACTAATGCAATCACACACTGGCTGACAGAATGGATTCGTGCAGGAGCACCACTTCCAAAAGAAGTTGTCAGTGATTTTTCTCTGGCCTTGCTTGGGGCTTTGGTCAAGGCTTTTACTCCTCACCCTAACCTGAAGTCTTATATCAATGAGTGCTTTGGTGTCTTACTTGGGAAACGGTCTGCAAAACTGCCCTCTTGTTTTGTCAGGGTTGATGTAGCACACTGCATCAAAATGATCTGCCAGTGGGACTGCCTGAAAAACAAAACACATCGCATTAAAGATTTTTTCGTGAGGTCAATAGTACAGCTGCTTAAATCACAGTCTCTGAACCATGCTAAAGAGCTAATACGTGCTATCACTATTGTGGCACTGAGCGAGGCAGAAGGCAATGACAGTTCCGGAGCACCTCTCACATCAGAAAGGTGCAAGAACTACCTGAAAGCTCAAATTGCAGAAGAATCAGTCTTCATTCCAGAGGAGGTAGAGGAAGAGAAACTGGAACAAGTGAATCTCTGTGATGAAATACACACTGACCTACAGCAGTGGGTTACAGAAATTTGTGATGAGAGCAGGTCACTTGCCATGGCTGATGGGGATAGAGATAATATGCACTACCTCCCTGAGATCATTCCCCATATAATAAGACTTGTACGTTACTTACCACTCTGGACAGGGATAATGGTCCCTCTCTTCCAAAGCACCAATGTCACTTCAAGTTCAGCTGCAGTTGAAGCAGAGTTCAAAAACATCAAACATGGACTTTTCAAGCATGAAAATGTACCTATTCGTGTGGATCGATTCATTGCTCGTCATCTGTCCTTCGTTGAAGGAAACATGCGGATTTGTTTTGCAAAACAACAAGGTGAAGAGGATGCAGCTATTGGAACAGTGACTGTGACGTCAGCCAATCCATTACCCACTATTAGTACAGAAGGGAACAAAAAAA